CAGCAGGGACACCCCCAACTAGACCAGGTTGCCCAGGGCCTCATCAGGCCTCATCAGGCCTCACCAGGCCTCACCAGGCCTCACCTTGAATATCTCCAGGGAAGGGGCCTCCACCACCTCCCTGGGCAACCTGTCCCAGTGCTCCACCACCCTCCCAGTGAAGAACCCTCTCCTCATCTCCAGTCTAAATCTGTTCCCCATCATCTCCCTACTTCTGCTGGTCACACTATTTTGGATACAAGCCATGATGCCGTTGGCTTTCTTGCCCCCCTGGGCACACTGCTGGTCAGGGTGACACCGGAGAAGAACCAGGGGCCGTGAGGAAGAGGAGGGAGGGTGGGTGTTGGGGTCCCTGCTGAGCCCACCACCTGAACCCCATCTTTTGGAGGTACCTGGTGGAATTGAGGGGCTCGTCCAGGCTGAGGTCCAGGCTGTCGGTGCTGAGATCGGCCGGGTTTTGGCGGAAGGTCTCCCGGTTCTTGGAGGTGTCCGTGGTCACCGGGAATTTGCCCAGATCCCGGAGCTGCTTGTTGGCAAAATCCACCTGGAAAGGGGGGAGAAGGGAGGGATGGGGGTCACCAGCGAGGCCATGATGGAGCCGAGGAGGAAGAAGAGGAGGAGGAGGAGGAGGAGGGGGATGAAGCCACTGCCTTGCCCACCTGAGCTCCCAACGAGCCCACAAGGGAGTAGAGGAAGAGGAGGAGGAAGCAGCACTGTCTTGCCCACCTGAGCTCCCCATGAGCCCACAATGGGGAAGAGAGAGGAGGAAGAGAGAGGAGGAAGAGAGAGGAGGAAGAGAGAGGAGGAAGAGAGAGGAGGAAGAGAGAGGAGGAAGCCCTGCCTTGCCCACCTGAGCTCCCAACGAGCCCACAACGGAGTAGAGGAAGAGGAGGAGGAGGAAGCAGCAGCAGTGTCTTGCCCACCTGAGCTACCCATGAACCCACAAAGGAAGGAGGAGGAAGGAGGAGGAAGGAGGAGGAAGGAGGAGGAGGAAGAAGCCCTGCCTTGCCCACCTGAGCTCCCAGCAAGCCCGTGACAGAGCCGAGGAAGAGGAGGAGGAGGAGAAGGAAGAGGAGGAGGAAGAAGCACTGCCTTGCTCACCTGAGCTCCCCGTGAGCCCACAATGGAGAGGAAGGAGGAGGGAGGAGGAGCGAGGAGGGAGGAGGAGGGGGATGAAGGCCTGCCTTGCCCACCTGAGCTCCCAACGAGCCCACAAGGGAGTAGAGGAAGAGGAGGAGGAGGAGGAAGCAGCACTGTCTTGCCCACCTGAGCTCCCCATGAGCCCACAATGGGGAAGAGGAAGAGGAGGAGGAGGAGGAAGCAGCACTGTCTTGCCCACCTGAGCTCCCCATGAACCCACAATGGAGCCGGGGAGGAAGGGGAGGAAGGGGAGGAAGGGGAGGAAGGGGAGGAAGGGGAGGAAGGGGAGGAAGCCCTGCCTTGCCCACCTGAGCTCCCCATGAGCTCACAATGGAGAGGAGGAAAAGAGGAGGAAAAGAGGAGGAAAAGAGGAGGAAAAGAGGAGGAAAAGAGGAGGAAAAGAGGAGGAAAAGAGGAGGAAAAGAGGAGGAAAAGAGGAGGAAAAGAGGAGGAAAAGAGGAGGAAAAGAGGAGGAAAAGAGGAGGAAAAGAGGAGGAAAAGAGGAGGAAAAGAGGAGGAAAAGAGGAGGAAAAGAGGAGGAAAAGAGGAGGAAAAGAGGAGGAAAAGAGGAGGAAAAGAGGAGGAAAAGAGGAGGAAAAGAGGAGGAAAAGAGGAGGAAAAGAGGAGGAAAAGAGGCCACAATGGAGCTGAGGAGGAGGAGGAGGAGGATGAAGCCCTGCCTTGCCCACCTGAGCTCCCAGCGAGCCCACAACAGAGTAGAGGAAGAGGAGGAGGAGGAGGAAGAAGCCCTGCCTTGCCCACCTGAGCTCCCCATGAGCTCACAATGGAGAGGAGGAAAAGAGGAGGAAAAGAGGAGGAAAAGAGGAGGAAAAGAGGAGGAAAAGAGGAGGAAAAGAGGAGGAAAAGAGGAGGAAAAGAGGAGGAAAAGAGGAGGAAAAGAGGAGGAAAAGAGGAGGAAAAGAGGAGGAAAAGAGGAGGAAAAGAGGAGGAAAAGAGGAGGAAAAGAGGAGGAAAAGAGGAGGAAAAGAGGAGGAAAAGAGGAGGAAAAGAGGAGGAAAAGAGGAGGAAAAGAGGAGGAAAAGAGGAGGAAAAGAGGAGGAAAAGAGGAGGAAAAGAGGAGGAAAAGAGGAGGAAAAGAGGAGGAAAAGAGGAGGAAAAGAGGAGGAAAAGAGGAGGAAAAGAGGAGGAAAAGAGGAGGAAAAGAGGAGGAAAAGAGGAGGAAAAGAGGAGGAAAAGAGGAGGAAAAGAGGAGGAAAAGAGGAGGAAAAGGAAGAGGAGGAGGAGGAGGAGGAGGAGGAAGAGGAGGAAGAGGAGGAAGAGGAGGAAGAGGAGGAAGAGGAGGAAGAGGAGGAAGCCCTGCCTTGCCCACCTGAGCTCCCAGCGAGCCCCAATGGAACTGAGGAAGAGGAAGAGGAGGAGGAGGAGGAGGAAGAGGAGAAGGAAAAGGAGGAGGAAGAAGCACTGTCTTGCCCACCTGAGCTCCCCGTGAGCCCACAATGGAGCCGAGGAGGAAGAGGAGGAGGAAGAAGACCTGCCTTGCCCACCTGAGCTCCCAACGAGCTCACAATGGAGCCGAGGAGGAAGAGGAGGAGGAAGAAGACCTGCCTTGGCCACCTGAGCTCCCAGCGAGCCCACAACAGAGGAGAGGAAGAGGAGGAGGAAGAAGACCTGCCTTGGCCACCTGAGCTCCCAGCGAGCCCACAACAGAGGAGAGGAAGAGGAGGAGGAAGAAGACCTGCCTTGGCCACCTGAGCTCCCAGCGAGCCCACAACAGAGGAGAGGAAGAGGAGGAGGAAGAAGACCTGCCTTGGCCACCTGAGCTCCCAGCGAGCCCACAACAGAGGAGAGGAAGAGGAGGAGGAAGAAGACCTGCCTTGGCCACCTGAGCTCCCATCAAGCCCACAATGGAGCTGAGGAAGAGAAGGACAAGGAGGAGGAGAAGGAGGAAGAGGAGGAGGATGAAGCCCTGCATTGCCCACTTGAGCTCCCAATGAGCCCACAATGGAGTAGAGGAAGAGGAGGAGGAGGAAGAAGCACTGTCTTGCCCACCTGAGCTCCCCGTGAGCCCACAATGGAGCCGAGGAGGAAGAAGAGGAGGAAGAAGAGGAGGAAGAAGAGGAGGAAGAAGAGGAGGAAGAAGAGGAGGAAGAAGAGGAAGCCCTGCCTTGCCCACCTGAGCTCCCATCAAGCCCACAATGGAGCCAAGGAAGAGAAGGATGATGAGGAGGAGGAGGATGAAGCCCTGCCTTGCCCACCTGAGCTCCCATCGAGCCCACAACAGAGCCGAGGAAGAGAAGGATGAGGAGGAGGAGGAAGAGGAGGAGGGATGAAGCCCTGCTGTGCCCACCTGAGCCTCCAGGCTGTGGACCTGGCTGGTGAGGTTCCTGCAGCTCAGCTCGGCCTCCTTGGCCTGCAGGACACTCTGCTGCAGCTCCTTGGCCAACCTCTCCGACTCCTTCCGCAGCTCCCCGTTCTCCTTCTGCAGCTGCTCCATGGCCTTCAGCTTCTCCACCAGCTCCTGGTTCTGCTGCTTCTTCGCGTCGTAATGAGTCTTGGCCTTCTCCATCTGGGGAGGTCAAGAGGAGAAAAGTCATGAAGCTTCCATGTGGGGCCGTGCCAGTGTCCCCCCAGGGATGGGCAGAGAGGAACGTGAGGAACTTCAACAAGGGCAAGTCAACGTGATGACCTTCAACAAGGGCAAGTCAACGTGATGACCTTCAACAAGGGCAAGTCTAAGATGCTGCACCTGGAGGGGGACAACCCCCTGGACCAGGAGAGGTTGGGGGTGGACCTGCTGGAGAGCAGCTCTGAGGAGAAAGACCTGGGAGTCCTGGTGGGGAACAGGATGCCCATGGGCCAGCAATGGGCCCTGGTGGCCAACATGGTCAATGGTCTCTTGGGGGGCATCAAGAAGAACATGGAGAACCTCCAGGGAGGTCATCCTGCCCCTCTGCTCTGCCCTGGGGAGGCCCCAGCTGGAGCACTGGGACCAGTTCTGGGCTCCCCAGGTCCAGAAGGACAGGGAACTGCTGGAGAGGGGACAGCAGAGGAACACAAAGATGATGAGGGCCTGGAGCATCTCTCTGCTGAGGAAAGGCTGAGGGACTTGGGGCTTTTTAGTCTGGAGAAGAGAAGGCTGAGGGGGGATCTGATCAACACCTATAAAAACTTCAAGGGTGGGTGTCAGGAGGATGGGGCCAGGCTTTTTCCAGTGGTGCCCAGGGACAGGACAAGAGGAAATGGGCACAAACTTGACCATGAGAAGTTCCACCTCAACATGAGGAGGAACTTCTTCACTTTGAGGGTTGTAGAGCCCTGGCAGAGGCTGCCCAGAGAGGTGGTGGAGTCTCCTTCTCTGGAGACATCCAAACCCCACGTGGACACGTTCCTGTGGGACCTGCTCTGGGTGGGACTTGCTCTGGCAGGGGGTGGGACTGGATGATCTCCAGAGGTCCCTTCCAACCCCATGGGATTCTGTGAAACGGGGGAAAAACCCAACTTTTTTGTGCTCTAGAAAAGGGTCTTCCATGCCAGCTGGGTCCATGCCAGCAGAAGGGCTGGAAAGGAAGATGCCAGTGTCTTGGGATCACAAGATACTTGACCATAAGAAGTTCCACCTCAACATGAGGAGGAACTTCTTCACTTTGAGGGTGGCAGAGCCCTGGCAGAGGCTGCCCAGGGAGGTGGTGGAGTCTCCTTCTCTGGAGACATTCAAACCCCCCCTGGACACGTTCCTGTGGGACCTGCTCTGGGTGGCCCTGCTCTGGCAGGGGGTTGGAGGAGATGATCTCCAGAGGTCCCAGATCATTCTGTGGGTCCTGTGGTACCTGGCCTTTGTAGTGCTCGGCCGCCTGCTCCTTCTGGGCGAGCTGGGCCTCCAGCTCTGCCACCTTCTCCTGCTGGCGAGTGGCTTCTGCCTGCAGCTCCCCTTCCAGTGCCTGGGGGGAAAAGAGAAGGGTCAGAGACACCCTGAACCTCCAGCTGAACCCCCCCCGTGTCCCTCAGGGGGTGGCCACCAACATCTCCAGGGCTGGGACCAGCTCAGCTCCTGGGTTTTTTGGGTCCTTTCTTACCTTCACCCTCTGCTGCTGGGTGCGGGTGGCCTTTTCGTGCTGACTCAGCTTTTTATTCAGCTCCTCCACCTGGATGGGGACAGTTTGGTCAGAGCAGCTCCGTCCCCCAAAAGCTCCTGAGGGCATCCAGCCAGCTCCAAGAGCAGGACCAGGAGGATTCCCTGGTGCCCAGTGGTGCCCACCACCACAGAAAGTCCCAAAACAGCCAATATTTGGGTTAAGGGGCTCGTTTTGGGGCAGCCAGAGCCACCCCACGTTCTTTTTTGGGGGGAGGAGGTTTGTAAACCCCAACGTGAAGAGCAACCACAGGCTGGAAGTGAAGCCAAGACCCCTTTTGGGTCGTGCCCCCGTAGCCAAAATGGGGGTCTCCATGGCCAACTGCTTGCCCTGGGGGTGAGAGCAGGAGCCCCCCCCTCCCTGGGCATCCTCTGGGTCACATCTCCAGCCACACAGCTCCAGGAGGGACCCCGTGGCAGCGTGGTCCCCCAAAATAGGGGTGCTCCTGAGGTTGGAGAGCGAAGATTTGACCCCACAGAAGGGTTGAAGGACCAAAGAACCCCCTCCCGTGGACCCCCAACCCCAGTGTGAACCCTTGGGCAGGGAGAACCCTCACCACCAGCTCCAGGAGCAGGACCAGGAGGATTCCCTGGTGCCCAGTGGTGCCCACCACCACAGAAGCTCCCAAAACAGCCAATATTTGGGTTAAAGGGCTCGTTTTGGGCAGCCAGAGCCACCCCATGTTATTTTTTGGGGGGAGGAGGTTGGTAAACCCCAACGTAAAGAGCAACCACAGGCTGGAAGAGAAGCCAAGACCCCTTTTGGGGGGAGGGCAAGGGAAGTTGGGGTGGTGACACCATGCCCTGTAGCCAAAACGGTGGTCTCCATGGCCAACTGTTGGAGAGATCAGGAGCCCCCCCCTCCCTGGGCATCCTCTGGGTCACATCTCCAGCCACACAGCTCCAGGAGGGACCCCGTGGCAGCGTGGTCCCCCAAAATAGGGGTGCTCCTGAGGTTGGAGAGCGAAGATTTGACCCCACAGAAGGGTTGAAGGACCAAAGAACCCCCTCCCGTGGACCCCCAACCCCAGTGTGAACCCTTGGGCAGGGAGAACCCTCACCAGCAGCTCCAGGAGCAGGACCAGGAGGATTCCCTGGTGCCCAGTGGTGCCCACCACCCCAGAAGCTCCCAAAACAGCCAATATTTGGGTTAAAGGGGCTCGTTTTGGGCAGCCAGAGCCACCCCACGTTCTTTTTTGGGGGGAGGAGGTTGGTAAACCCCAACGTGAAGAGCAACCACAGGCTGGAAGAGAAGCCAAGACCCCTTTTGGGGGGAGGGCAAGGGAAGTTGGGGTGGTGACACCATGCCCTGTAGCCAAAACGGGGGTCTCCATGGCCAACTGTTGGAGAGAGCAGGAGCCCCCCCCTCCCTGGGCATCCTCTGGGTCACATCTCCAGCCACACAGCTCCAGGAGGGACCCCGTGGCAGCGTGGTCCCCCAAAATAGGGGTGCTCCTGAGGTTGGAGAGTGGAGATGTGACACCAAAGAAGGGTTGAAGGACCAAAGAACCCCCCCTGGGGACCCCCAACCTTGGGCAGGGAGAACCCTCACCACCAGCTCCAGGAGCAGGACCAGGAGGATTCCCTGGTGCCCAGTGGTGCCCACCACCCCAGAAGCTCCCAAAACAGCCAATATTTGGGTTAAAGGGCTCGTTTTGGGGCAGCCAGAGCCACCCCACGTTCTTTTTTGGGGGGAGGAGGTTTGTAAACCCCAACGTAAAGAGCAACCACAGGCTGGAAGAGAAGCCAAGACCCCTTTTGGGGGGAGGGCAAGGGAAGTTGGGGTGGTGACACCATGCCCTGTAGCCAAAATGGGGGTCTC